TCCATTCTGAAATCCTTTTTAGCTTAATCATTCCATCAAACAGTAAATATTTTCTAGAATAAAACTTCTGATGTACTTACAATAAAAACATTCAACCTTCATTGCCTAAAAATGTCAAGCAGAATATAACAAAATCTTAGTCCAGGAGCGCAATTCATTCCAAGGGTTTGGTTATCAACCGAAAGAAAAACAATTCGTTAAAAAATGGAGTGGCCGTATGTTGAAGTTGGAATGACCGTAGATCGAAGAGGTCGTGATTCGATAAAGTTTATTGAAAAGATGGCACCTTCGTTGAACATCATTTGTCTTGTTTCTTGTTGTAGGGAATATCATTTTTAGTTTGCTTCCATTTATCGATAACGCATCACTGAATTCATGATTCCATCAATACATCCAAATTACACACTCGCTAACAGCTGATATGAGTAGAGAATGAATGATCATAAAATTCATTCGTTGATCATCTTTATCACTGAACTCGAAATGGTACTAACATATCGAAGAGCATGCTGGAGTCTTTTCGTGAAGTGAAGTCTTTAATTTCCATGAAAAGATCTCCTGACTTGCAAGCAGTTTTTAATCGTTGATTTTCCGAAAAGATATCACCACAATTCGTTCGATTATAATCTTGATGAAATATTTTGTTGTACACTTCTGTTGGATGGCAATAGTATATGAAACCTTAACAGAATTGCTGTCTGATTCGATTGTTCATACCTTCGGTTTGTTTGCCGAATGCGCTTCCATTCACTTACCGTTGCATTCGAGTTTTGCAAGGAAACGGTTTACTTTAATCGTTTCACTTTTGTAAATTCTACGTGACACGTTTATGATTGGACTATCATGAAAAATTGAGTGAATCTACATGGAATAACTGCGGAGTGTACGCAAATTTTGACGCAATAATATTCATTTGATCTAACTTGTATGGAGCAATATTTTCGGGATCAACATTTCCAATCGAAATAAGTCAAACGAATGGATCCTTACGAGATGCTCGTTCTGAACAGCTAAGCCAGAAAAGTGTATTGAATGATAATAAAGCAAATAAGTATGCAACAATAAAAAGGAGAATAATGAAACCATTGAAATGCCATTCACAATCAACAACAAATAATATTTTCTGTTGCATAAGATATATCGCTAATTCAACAAAATCCCCGTTATAAGTGATAGTATGCGGTACTGCACCGTAGCATTCCTTTGTTTTCCTGGCATCGATTCGTCGTAATTGCGCAGTGAAGTCCGATGACGGTATCTGAAACAAATACGTATTCAGTCGATTCAAGATTTTAAGTTTTCGTCTCTGCTTTTGTATCGGTCTAAATGAATTGGCGATGAGATATCGCTGTTTTGATCGAACAGAATGCTGAAATGATTGATAATATCAGAAAAAAANAAAAAAAGTTCCTGCAGAGCTATCAATTAACGAAATACTTTGAAGATGGCTTTTAAAAATGTATATACGAGAAGATGTGATAGTTAAGTTAACTCAAAACTCAAATCCTCTGAGTTAGCTTAGTGCTAGGGTGAGATTAAATTCAATATTGAGAGTGCTTTCCAGGACGATGGAGTATCGTTGGTTGTTCAGCGGGAAATGTCATTGATAAAAGAGGAATGCTGGTATGTGCTCGTAATGACTCATTATTGGTGAGTTATTATGAGTTGCTGAATAAATAGGTAAGTTAGGACTTAGTTATGAAACTAGAGATATGTGAGAAGAAGAGTCAAATATAATACGCTTACCATGCCATCTGGAATCATGAAGACAGTACATCCGGCCGTGATACCGAATAGAAAGAATGTGCCTTCAATCACTGACAATCGTTCGATAGCTATCAGACCACAAGCAGCATTAATTATTGTCGTTTCATCGTCCATCGATGATGTTTCACAATTAATTCCAATTATCAAATTTATCATCATCGCTATCATACATATCAATCCTCAAATGATAAACACACTAGTCATCAATTTGTTTTTGTTTCAATAATCATTCCGAACGTTGATTTGTACAGATCGGACTGAACTCAGTCGTTTATTTGGCGCAATCCATTGAGAGTCAAAAGTAGCCATGACATAATAAAGCCTGTTTCTTTGGATTAGTTTTGAATTTGAACTAAACTGCCACTATTCTAGTATACCTGATTCAACATTCAACCAAGGCTATCACATGTGTCGTCAATGAACACCTAATGTCTCGTTTATCATACGCATTGCGAGGAGGACTGTTCAGTGGGTTCTATTGGACTGATGAAGGTGATATATTGTAAATGAAATGAAATGAAGCAATGGAAATATGTGAATAGGTGATAGAAATATGAATATGAGGGCGTGATAGAAAATGAACGGAAAAAAAAGATGATGAAGATTAGAGGCAAATGCAAATGCAACAATAAAAGTGATAACTTGATGAACATTGTAACATTGTTCATAATTTAACCTGTTCGCATCTGAAAAATGTTGAGGAGTGGTTAGATAATATCAGTTGATCGCACGAGAAATGAAGAAGCTAACGATAATAATCAAATCACTAAACAAACCACTCCACACCTAAATCCGTATGAAAATAGCCATTCTCTTTTAGAAAAATCCATTATCGATTCCAATCGAAACTTTGAATATCGCATTCAAATTTGATTCAATCAATTCAAAATCCAAAAGAAATTGTGAAATTTTCGCATATTTTTGCTTCTGATCATACACTCATCATTTGTTTGGGCGACCCATTCTGTTTTTAACTATACACATTTAATCATTCGAAAATCGTAGTGTTCAATTTCCCATGGAATCATATAGGCTCTATTGTTTTTTCTCCTGATGAAAATGATAAGGTACTAATAATAAATTTTGATTCGTTCGATCAAATGATTAATTGCGATTGGTTTTTGTTGAATTCCAACTGATTGATGCTTCGTTTTCGATGCATTTATTACTGCTATCAACATTGTATAGATTTTCACTTGACGTGCTTTTGGCATTCTTACAAATGTTTCTTCGGAAGATTATAAATTCATTTGGACAATCGCATCATTGAGATTCGATGCTCGGATTGATAGTTTTTTGGGGGAGACAGTCGTCTGACATTTTATTGATAACGACAGAACTGGTACGCCTTCAATTCATTTCAGTATGTGCACGTAGCCAGGAAATAATTCATCATTTGCTTCGATCGGTCAAATGTTGCTGTGTACCGAGTCGCTTCAATGTTCGATCGGTCAAATGTTGCTGTGTACCGAATCGCAATTTGCTGATAAGCGCTCGGTTTTAAATCAGAGATCACTTAAAAAATGCGCTCACAATCAGTGAACAACACCTGTTCAAGTACAAATGACGTTTTAATTGATAGACTGCTCTGGTATCACATGAAAATCTGTGCTCCTTATCACATATATATAGCACATGCATACAGCACATGATACGATTTGATCGGAGATCGCAACAAGTAAAAATAACGCCGATGTTCAATGATACCATTAAAATTACCAAAAAAATGCATCGTTTTTATCAGTAATAAAGTCGCCTGATCAAGTGATCACTAAATACCCAGCACCGTTGATCAGTATTTGTTCAGTATCTATTTTTAGGTATTCATAAACGCGATTCTCTCAACATGTACACATAAAATGAATGTTAATTGTTTTCAGTGATGATTAAACGGAAAATTATCACGAACCGATTATACTGAAAGCACTGATTCTTTGATTATGACTACCTTCACAATTACAGTTACAATGACCATATAACAATGGCAATAACTGTAACTGTACTAACAAAAGTAGTCGTATCAATATTAATGATTGACTTGCACTCAAACGGCACTATCAATATCGTTAAGGAAAAGTGCAACTCAAGAAGAGATAAAACTTCAGTTTTGAACTCTATTTTTCCCGTAACTTCTGAAAATGAATTCCGCTCTCCCCTACTGCCCAACGACGTTCTTATGTGAATTACTTCAGCGAAGCATCTGGCTCAAATGAATTCAACTGCTGTTTTAATCAATTTGATCGCTTTTCGTCGGCAAAAAATGATCAGTGATATGGGAATTCCTAGCATGTTGCATTTCTCGTAACGATGGTCTGTCTATACGTTAGCTCATTGTTGAACTGAAAATGAAATCAAAAATCTTTTGACTAGTAGTATAAAAGAGGTCTGTTCACACCATTAGTCTCACTCAATCGCTCTGTCGTATTGCATCATTCATTATTGACACATA